GGACGATCGGAATGGGCGCGGAAATGAAAGGTAGGGTGCGATGCCCAACAGCAGTTCCTGCTCATTTTGAACAGGACTCGCTGTCCGCACCGCCACCGCCGTTGTTCATTGAAGACACGGAGCCGCCCGCCCAACAGCGGCCGCTGTCTGGTTTGGGACAACATTCGTTGTTGGGCATCGTGCCCATCTTCTCCGTGCCTGTTTTTCGGGCGACCGAAGATGAACAGCAACCCGCCCCTTGGGGAAGAGGCCGGGACCGGGGACACCCAGGGGGCCCCGCAAGGATGCGACAAGCAGTGCATCGGAGGTCGGAGCCCCTCCTGCGCGCGCGCGGCCTCGCCTCGCCTCGCCTCGCCTCGCGCGCGCGGCACGAGCCGGGGCCGAAACCGCGCTGCTTTGGGGAGGCGCGCCGTCTCATGCCGGCCTCATCCCCGGAGCATTTCGAAAGGTACAGTTCGGGACGATCGACATTCGGGGGTCCCCAAACGGGGTGGTGACCACACCGTGCGGTGAGTCGGTCGGGCGACAGGGGCCTCCCGGGTCCCAAAACCGTGCCGTGACGGACCGTGCGGTGAGGTCTCTTGGGGTTCCGAGGTCACCGCACGGTCTGTCACCGCACCGTTTCGGGACACCAAAGACATGGGTACGGAACGGATGGGTACGATGCCCAACAGCAGTTCTTGTTCATTTTGAACCGGATTCGCTGTCCGCGCCGCCGCGCACGTCTTCTTTGAAGACGGAAAGCCGCCTGCCCAACAGCCGCCACTGTCGGTTGTGGACAGCATTTGTTGTTGGGCATCGTACCAATTCTTTCCGTACCCATTTCGGGTGTCCAAAACAGTGGAAGTCCATGCCAAGAAACACCTTGCTTGGGGTGCCCTGGGTTTCTTGGGTTTCGATGGTTTCGCGGAGGAAAGCGTGAAGTTCCCACACCAACAACCAATGGACGTCCTGGGGTCTCAGGGTTTGGTTTCTTGTGGAAGGTTTCTTGTGGTCGGGCCCTAGCTGTACGACAGAGGGTGGCGAGGCCGAGGAGAGCTCACGCGAGAGTGCAGCACAGGCGCGAAACGAGGCCACAGCCAGGGAAGGAGACGGGCTGCATAGCCGCGGCGGATGCTCCCTAGCCGTTTCTGGGAGGCGTTATCCAGACAGAGAGAGGAGGGACGTAATAAGTTTAGTTTTGTGCGGCTCAGTAATCTTAAGTCGGGCCTGTCCCTCTACAGGGAAAATATTCCTAAACTAGTCGGGAGACGTTTTTGTTTGTCTATGGTCGGATATGTTTTGACTGTTTTTCATTTTCGCGCAAGATCCCCCTGTATTGGGACATGCCCGACCTAAAGGTAATACGTGTTTGAGACTTCTTTCGTGCGGCTCAGTAATCGCACGCGCCTCCCTTGTCCCAGGCAGAGGCCCCACGGGGTCGCTAATGAGCTCAGCGCAGTGAGTCGCAGCAGGAACTGCACAGGCTTTTTTCACGCGCCAGCAGGACCAGCGCTAGCGCAAAAGAAAGAGAGAGGAGTCGAAGAAGAACAAACAACGTAAACATAAACTTTTGGCGCTCCGCGCGGATTTCTTGGATCCACGCCTTGGCCTCCGGCGCCGTCCTTGGCGCGCTCCGCGCGCCAGGGCGGGGGTCCAGCGCGAATCCAAGAAATCCGCGCGGAGCGCCAAACGTTTATGTTTATGTGGTTGTTTCTTCTCCTAGGGTGTTGAGTGGTCGGGCCGGGTAAAGAGGGCGAGCGAGGGGGGGAGGGGCATGAGGAGGGAGGATGGGGGGGGGGGGGAAAGGAAGGGCGGAGTGGAAGGAGGGGGAGCCGGAGGAGGAGGAGGAGGAGGAGGAGGAGGAGGAGGAGGAGGAGGAGGAGGAGGAGGAGCACGTTGGAGCAGGAGGAGGGAAGGGACGGGGGAGGAGGGTGTGCGTGCGTCCAGGGGCTCGGCGCGAGGCATGCTCCATGTTCACCCGGCAGCGGCCGCGCGGGGTGGCGCTGCAGAGCCGCCTCCGCCGCCCGCAGAGCCAGGGGAACGCTGCGAATTCCCGTCGGGGGATGTGGAAGAGGTCGCGTCAAAAACTTATTTGATACGCGGGTCGAGAGCGAGCCTCGTCCGGTCGAAGCTAAGCGGGCCGCGCACAGCTTTAATTGGCAGGGGGGGGGAAGGCAGAAGGAGGGGCCTCACGTCAAGGCCAAGTGAGGGCAAAGCCCCGGGATCAGGCGGTGCTGAAAGCGAAGTGCATGCAAAGGAATGCCTTGTACAGGAACCCGGTGGCGAAGTACCGCTTCGCGCCAAAAACAGCAGAGCACAGAAGATTGCGTCCAGTCACGCGGACGCAAGCCACCGGGAGCTGAAGCGAGTTTCGAGAGCGGGGGGCGGACTCGAAGACCCGACAGGGTTGGCGCTAGACCTCGCGGAGGAGGGAGGACGGCAGGAAAGGGCCGAGCGAATCCTGAGTGAAGCGCGCTGAATTCGGAGCCGCGGGCAAGTACAGCTCCAGCGGCCTGAGCGACAGTTGTCCACTACCAGAGGCAAAGTGAAGGTTAAGTCGCGCCTGTCCCTCTACACTCTACAGGGGGAGTATTCAAAAATAGCCACAAATAGTAGGGGGATTATTTTTGCACTATGATTGATGTTATTTGTTCCCCACATGTTTCGTGGGGTTCTGGTTTTCTTCCCTGCCGCGGCGCACCCGCGTCTCCTCCTCCCCCCTCCCCTTCTCCTTCTCGCAGCTCAGCTCAACTCAGCACAGCAAAGCACAGCACGGCACGGCACAGCACAGCTCGCCGCACAGCAGCACAGCACAGCACAGCACAACGCCACAGGGGGTGCGCTGGGGGTGGGGGCCCTATGCACTGTAGGCTCCCAGGGCGTGGCAGGCGTGGCATATCCTGGGCGCCGCAGGGGGTGCGCAGGGGGTGGTCTCGCACCGCGGCCGCTATCTGTGACGGTCGTCCAGGGCACAGCAGGCATGGCATATTCTCGACAAAATAGGGGGTGCGCAGGGGGTGGTCTCACCGCGGCCGCTATCCGTGACGGTCGTCCAGGGCACAGCAGGCATGGCATATTCTCGACACCATAGGGGGTGCGCAGGGGTGGTCTCTCACCGCGGCCGCTATCCGTGACGGTCGTCCAGGGCACAGCAGGCATGGCATATTCTCGACACCATAGGGGGTGCGCAGGGGGTGGTCTCTCACCGCGGCCGCTATCCGTGACGGTCGTCCAGGGCACAGCAGGCATGGCATATTCTCGACACCATAGGGGGTGCGCAGGGGGTGGTCTCTCACCGCGGCCGCTATCCGTGACGGTCGTCCAGGGCACAGCAGGCATGGCATATTCTCGACACCAGAGGGGGTGCGCAGGGGTGGTCTCCCGCGGCCGCTATCCGTGACGGTCGTCCAGGGCACAACAGGCATGGCATATTCTCGACACCATAGGGGGTGCGCAGGGGGTGGTCTCTCACCGCGGCCGCTATCCGTGACGGTCGTCCAGGGCACAGCAGGCATGGCATATTCTCGACACCATAGGGGGTGCGCAGGGGGTGGTTCTCACCGCGGCCGCTATCCGTGACGGTCGTCCAGGGCACAGCAGGCATGGCATATTCTCGACAGCGTAGGGGGTGCGCAGGGGGTGGTCTCTCACCGCGGCCGCTATCCGTGACGGTCGTCCAGGGCACAGCAGGCATGGCATATTCTCGACACCATAGGGGGTGCGCAGGGGGTGGTCTCTCACCGCGGCCGCTATCCGTGACGGTCGTCCAGGGCACAGCAGGCATGGCATATTCTCGACACCATAGGGGGTGCGCAGGGGGTGGTCTCTCACCGCGGCCGCTATCCGTGACGGTCGTCCAGGGCACAGCAGGCATGGCATATTCTCGACACCATAGGGGGTGCGCAGGGGGTGGTCTCTCACCGCGGCCGCTATCCGTGACGGTCGTCCAGGGCACAGCAGGCATGGCATATTCTCGACACCATAAGGGGGTGCGCAGGGGGTGGTCTCTCACCGCGGCCGCTATCCGTGACGGTCGTCCAGGGCACAGCAGGCATGGCATATTTTCGACACCATAGGGGGTGCGCAGGGGGTGGTCTCTCACCGCGGCCGCTATCCGTGACGGTCGTCCAGGGCACAGCATGCATGGCATATTCTCGACACCATACGGGGGTGCGCAGGGGGTTGTCTCTCACCGCGGCCGCTATCCGTGACGGTCGTCCAGGGCACAGCGGTATCGGCGGGACAGCGGCCACCAACATCATTATCACATGCTTCATTTCAGTTCTCATCACTTCCTCCATAATAAAAGGTATGTGGGGTTCATCGGTAGCGTAATTGTTTTTGATTGTGGTTGATTGATTTGTTGTGGGTATTTTTGACTGTGTTTCATTCTTCGCTCAAACTCCGCCTGTAGTGGGACACGCCCGACCTAAAGTTAGGGGGCAGAGGCTCAGGATGGGATGCATCGACCCTCAATCACTCATTGATCGCCTAAGGGGAACCCGATGGCCCAGCCCCGCCTAGGAGCGTGCGGATTCGCTGCCGGGAACCTGTCGCCGATCTATCGGCGACGTATCGCCGATTCCAGGTCGATGATTCCCCCACTACCCCGGTTCCTCCTACACGTTACCTCGCAATCGTTCCTTACCATGGCCTTCAAAATGTTGGCTTGTTTTCCATAAGGCGTCCCTGGAGCTCTGGACCAGCTCTCTGGCACAATCTGTTCGTCCCAGATCCTCCTTTTTTAGTCCTGGGCCCCGGCAATGGCCCTGAGATGCCGAAAGCGACGAAATACCTAAGTCTTGTTTCTGGTCAATACTTGGCATCGTTCGGACGTGTAAATTTTTCTTTCGGCGAGGACCATCGAAGGGCGCTCTTGACATTTAGCGAAACAAAAACACGCACGAAACCGAAACAAAAACACAGGGAATGGTCGTCCGAGCGATGGCGAGAATACGCTGGAGGTCTTGGGCAGGGCCCCAGCCCTCAGGGCCCCCTCCTTGAGCGCCCCCCTGCAGGATGTGCAACGTGTGCATGTCGGACTTCACCTGCAGGCCGCCGACGAGGCCTATGGGCTTGGGGCAGACGCGGAGAGAGGGGAAAAAGAGGGGGAAGACTAGAACGAGAAGGGAGGAGCCGCGCGATGACGACGTGGAGGACGAGGGGATGTGAAGGAGGAGGAGGAGGAGGAGGAGGAGGAGGAGGAGGAGGAGGGGGAGGAGGAGGAGGAGGATAGCGCCGTCGGCTGCATAGTTATACCGTGGAGGTGATAGACGTTGTCGTCGCCTCTGGACTGTGCCCAGGAGGAGGAGGAGAGGAGGGGAGGGGGAGAGGAGGGGGAGGAGGAGTAGCAGGAGGGGAAGAAGGAGGATCAGGAGGAGGATGATGAGGAGGAGGAGGAAGAGGGGAAGAAGGAGGAAGAGGGGCAGGAGGATTAGGAGGAGGAGATGGAGGAGGAGGAGAAGGAGGCAGGAGGAGGGAGGAGGGGGGCAGAAACGAGGCGAAGAGTCGGCCCCGCGCCTCGGAGATCTGCGCACCTGCCCCCGGGGACGCCCCGGCCCCCCCCCTCGGCGGCAAGCGAGGGGGGGACGTGAGAAGGAGAAGGCCTTCTCTCAAGCAGTGGCGAAGCGTCCTGGCTCGCCTACAGGCCTACCAACACATGTTCTAAGCACCTTTTGTGGCCTGAACGACATGTTCTCTGAACATTTCTGGCTGGGACAGTCTTGTTTTAACTCATCGGGCTTCTGTTATAAGAACATGCTTTTGTTATGAAAACATTTTGGGGCGCCAGGGAAATTTCGTGGTAGGCCTATAGGAATGCCAGGACGGTCGGTCCCTGCTCAACTTCTCAGAAGGTTCGGAAATCCCCCGGCCTTCTGAGAAGTTTCTTCAGCCATCCCCGAAGACAGAACAAGCTTCTCCGGAGGCGCGAGGGCTTCTGAGAAGTTCCGCCAACTTCTGAGAAGGCCTTCTCCTTCCCACTTCCCCCCCTCGCTCGCCGCCGAACCCCGCGCCGCACCAGGCTGGAGCTCATGCAGTCCTTCACTGGCGAGGAGCGGCGGCGGCGAGATCGGGGCTCGCGTCATGGTCGGGGAAACGTAAGACTCGAGTAAGCCCGAACTCGGGTTTGCCGACGCTTTTTGACGAGCACGCCCTGGATTCTGACGGTCCAGTTTTCGTGGGATGTTTGCAGCGGGAGCTTGCGTCAAATTTCAGATTGGGTCTCATCATTTTTATGCTGGCCCCGTCAGGCCAACTCGAGTCCCCGGTACCCGAGTCTTAGGTCTCCGACTGGAGAGGAGCAGCGGCGGGGAGATTGGGGCTCGCGTCATCGGGGTCAGCGCGTCGGCGCTAACGTTAAGTCGGGCGTGTCCCTCTACAGAGGGAAAATTTAAAGAGTGTTAAAATATAATATGCGGACGACTTATTTAGTATTGTTGTGGGCATTTTTGGGGCATTACTTTTTATTTGTCTTCCAACATGCGCCTGTATGGGGACATGCCTGACCTAACCCTAACGGGGGCCAGCCAGTCTCCTGCCGATCCCCTCTGGCTGGCCCGGATTTGGGAGCCACCTGGAGCCGACCCCGCCACCTCGCCTTCTGCTGACCCCGGTTTTCGGTGCCCGGCGCATTTGTTTGCGATAAATCGACCAAACAACAAACGACACCACCCCACTTGCGGCCTTCCATGTAGCGCTGGAGCTGACCAGGGACCGTAGCGTGTATCACGCAAAAGCCCACGCCGGATCTCCTGGTATACGCTAAACCCTTTTGACCCGTAGATCAAGTGAGGTGGTGTCGATTGTGTTCTGGTCCAATACACTTCAGGAGGGGAAACACACACACAGACACCATTAATCGTCGACTCCCAGGAACATGGGAAAATACGGGAAGTTGGGGGGGAGGCCAAAATCCAGAGAACATTTGGAAAAAGATGGGGGGAATCCTGGGATTTCTGTGTGTACTTATTTGTATGCCCGTTTTGGGCCCCTTGAAAACTACAAGGTCGTAGAGGGCTGGCGGATAAATGTTTGAGTTATGTCGGGCATGTCCCCCTACAGGTGGATTTTTGACGAAAAGTAGAACACACCAAAACAAATATACAAGATATGTCCCAGGTAGATTTTGGACGAAAAGTAGAACACACCAAAACAACTATACAAGACATGTCCCAGCCTATTCAAGACATCGTCCCCAGAGTATTGTTGGACTACTTCTGGAGGCTCCTCCTGTAGAGGGACACGCCCGACTTACTCTTCGAGGCCGTCCCGACGTCGGCAGTGGCCGCGGTGGGCGGCGAGCGGGGCGGTTTGGGGAGCTGCCTGCGTGGCCGGCCATGGCTTCGCGGCCTGGCCCTGGGCGGCCCGGGTCTGCGCGGTCCCGGGGCGGTGCTCGGGAGCGGCAGAGGAGGGGGGTGAGGACGGGGGGGCAGGAGAGCCAAGAATCGAATCGACAAGTCGGATCGATGATCGAAATGAATCGGGTCGGCGGAAATCGGCGGCCGAGTCGAGAAAAGTCGAATCGGCGGAAATCGGCAGGCTAATTAGCCTCCAATAAGAAATCGGAACCCAAATCGGAATCCCAAGTCGAATCGAATCGAAATCGGAAGCCATCGAAATCGAAACGACTCGAATCGGAGGAATCGAAACGAGCCCTGGAGGGGGGGGGATTTCATGGCGCGGGCCATGATTTTTCCTCAGATTTCACGGCGCCTCTTCTTGTTTCAGTACGTCCCTGGCCCCCCCGCTGGGCCGCGCGCATGCCGCCGGTCATGGTTTGCACCCGCCCCCTCTTGGACACCCCCCTCTTGGCCGCTCCCGGAAGGCGTCCCCGAGGGGAGGGGGTCGGTAGCGTTGAGTCGGGCGTGTCCATCTACAGGAGGGATATTCAAAAAACGTGATAATAGAGTGTGCGGACGATTGTTGGAGCATGTTTTATTATTTGGGCGCTTATCATTCTTACTATTTGCAATTTGTCTCCCAAAATCCCCCTGTAGGAGGACATGCCCGACCTAGACCTGGGTGGCCCAGGTCTGCGCTGACCTGGGGGAGTGCGATTCAATCAGTGGCGAAGCGTCTAAGTCCGCCTATAGGCCCATCAAAAAATGTTCTAAGAACCTTTCCTGGTCTGCGCGACAGGTTCTCTGAACATTTCTGGTTGAGACTGTCGTGCGTTAACACATCGGGCTTATGTTCTAAGAACATTGATTTCGTGTTTAGAACATTTGGGGGTTCGAAGAGCATGTCGTGGTAGGCCTACAGGAATGCCGGGACGGTCGGTCCCTGCTCAAGCGTCCCCGAGGAGAAGGGTCCGGTAGTGTCGATTAGCGCCGATTTTAAATAGCGTCGATTAGGGTCGTTTCGCACAAGCTGGCAAGATCAGGGCTCGTTCCGATTCCTCTGATTCGAGTCGATACGATTTCGATGGTTTCCGTTTTCGATTCGATTCGATTTGGGATTCCGATTCGGGTTCCGATTCTTTATTGGAGGCTAACTAGCCTGTCGATTTCCGCCGATCCGCCTTTTCTCGACTCGGCCGCCGATTTCCGCCGACCCGATTCATTCCAATCGCCGATCCGACTTGTCGATTCGATTCTTGGCTCTCCTGCAAGATGGTACGGGTGGCTTCCATGAGTGGCTTCGGGAGGAGATCCAGCCCCCCTGGGACCAGGGCACTGCAAGCCAGGACTCTGAGCACTGCATGCAGCTGGAGGGAAGAGAAGTACGCCACGGAGCATGTGTCGATCAGCGGCTGCAGTTTCCTCGGGCACGCCCATGCCCTGGTGCATGAGGCCCCGAGGAGGCTCCCCACCCTCGCAGGCCTAGAGGTTGACACCAACACCAAGATCGGCTGTGTCCCTCCACCGAGGGAAGACGATCCCGATTTCGGTGATGGTGGCCATATTCTAGCTTCCAAGGTGACCGAACTATTACCACCAACACCGAAATCTAGGATCATCATCCCCATGTGGAGGCAACACCCTGTGCTGATGTTGGTGCCAATTTCCAGGCCTCCAACACCCCCCCCTCGTCGCGAGAGCGTGAAGGCTGCCGCGGTGCTGCTGCCAGTCTTCGGCCCCCAGGGCCTCGACCGAGCCCCTGGGCCGTGGAGAACGACCCGGGGGGGACGCAAAGGCAGAAGGCAGGAAGACAGAGATTGAAACCGTGGTTCCTCCTCCTCCTCGTCCTCCTCTTCCTCGTCCTCCTTCTCCTCCTCTCCCTCCTCCTCCCCCTTCTCCTCCTCCTCCTCCTCGCATATCAGGTGGTCTCTGGCCTGTCCCGCCACCGTGCTTCTGAGGCCTGCCAGGGGTTCTCCAGGACGCCTTCTGGAAGGGGTTGGAGCCGCATCGGGCGCGGATGGTCCTGCGCACCTCGCCCGGGGAGCGCTTCTGACGTTGGTTCGGACAGGTTAGTGTTAGGTCTGTCCTGTCCCTCTACAGGGGGAAATTCAAAAATAGCAACGAGAATAGTCGGGGGACTACTTTTTAAAGTATGTTTGACCATTTTTGGTGAATTTGTCTTGCTTTTTTTTGTTCGTCCAACATCCGCCTGTAATTAGGGGTCACGCCCGACCTAAGGTTGGTGTGCCACGCCCCGGGAGCACCCAGAGAAGCGCTCGAGGGTCTGGGCCGATCGGGAGCCCATGCCATGCAGAACTCTGCAATCCCAGAGTCCCGTGTTCTCACAGGTTCCCCAATCAGTGCTTGCACCGAAGGGGTCCTAGCAGAAATTGAAAGATTCGGCAAAAGTTTCCCGCCGATTTTGGTGGCCGGCTAGGTTCCCAGGTTCCTGGTTCGGGGTTCCCGGGTTCTTGGTCATTGGTTCTGGGCCGTTTTCGGTGGGTTCTGGGTTCCCGGGTTCCCGGTCGATCTCTTTATCGATACCTTTATCGATCCCACTACAAGCCATCCATTGATTGGTGTTTTTCTCTGGTGTAGTTTATTTATCGGTGTTGGGGCTCCAGGGAGTGATCGAGGCACGTGGCAAATATGCAAAGATCATTCGTCGTGAATTAGGGTTTGCCCCAATTATGTTGTCCACTGCGTTCCAACGTATGGTTCACAGGCGACCACCAACATACTCAATACAAGTAAGTACTGGTGCAGGTTAACGATTGACGCCGCATGAGGATGGAAGACAGGACAGTCGTTGGTAGCACGTTTGGTTGTGCCATCGGCTTCAACATTTTAGTACGGGTGTGTTCGACATCAGAATTTGCACATTGGGACGCACTGCGCACTAACATCTACGTGTGCCCAATGGTTATTTCGCGCATCTGGAGCTCACCATTGCGCTCGAACGGGCGATAATGTGTCATTGATGCATTTGCCTGGCCGAGTAGTCGAAGTCTTGGCTCGGCAGCAGCCTTCTCGGTTGAGCCCCCTCTGAGGGGGGCAGTTACAGTGTGCGGCTTGAAAAGGAACACCTATTTTTCAAAAGGGGTGCGGTCTTTCCCTAGGTTCGCATGCATTACTAATCGTTCCTTATGCGTTATGTTTTTTGAATGCGTTACGCATTCCTTGTAAACATGCGTTTCTTTCCTTGTTTATCGTTCCTTAGATCAGTCTTGGTTCGGCAGCAACCTTCTCGGTGGAGCCCCCTTGAAGGGGGGCAGTCACCGCCGACCCGCTCTGTTGGATCCTTGTCGCGCTGACGGAGTGGCGAGGTGTGAAGACCGTGAACCGGCTTTGGGAAGCTTCGTGCAAGAAGAACGTGGAAACGTCAGTAGCACAGGGAAGTTTCGAGCCCAAGGGCTATACTTTGTCAGGAAGTCTCAGGCGAAATGCTTAGCCCGCCCAACCGACGCACCTGGTGATCAGGTGAGGACGAGGTATACATAAAGGAACGGGGGTGGAGGAGCGGATCCGCGGCGGTAACGCCCGCGACCGGCGCAGGCGACCCCCCAGGGGGGCGATTTTGGCGTCCAGGTGAGAGGGCTCAACGGATCGAATAAGAAAGTAACGGTACAAACATAAATTTTCGGAGCTCCGCGCCGAGTTTTTGGGTCGGCACTTGGGCCCCCCCTGGCGGCGCTTCCGGCGCGGCCCCTGGCGCGCTCCGCGCGCCAGGGAGGG